AAAGAACTGTTCAACTACCGGCTGAGCAAGTGCAGAATGGTGGTGGAGTGTGCTTTTGGACGTCTCAAGGGGAGATGGAGAAGCTTACTCACTCGCTGTGATCTCAGCGAAACCAATATCCCCATTGTTATAGCTGCTTGCTGTGTGCTCCACAATCTGTGTGAGAGCAAGGGGGAGACCTTTATGGCGGGGTGGGAGGTTGAGGCAAATAGCCTGGCATCTGATTACGCCCAGCCAGACAGCCGAGCGATTAGAAGAGCCCAGCGGGACGCGCTGTGCATCCGGGAGGCTTTGAAAGCTAGGTTCCACAGTGAGCAGGGTAACCAGTGACTTTTAAGTTTCTGTACAGAGAAGCTGAACCTGCCCCCGTTTCTTTACCCAGTTAAGGATGACTATCCTCTCCAGTTACAGACCCCCTCCACTCCCTTCCAAAAAAATAAAATCAGTTTTATTTTGTTATTGAACACCGTTGTCTTTAGTACTGTTTTCGCGGGAATCTTTGAAACCGGGGACGCAGACTGTGGTGGGGAGCGGGTGTAGTGTACTGATGCAAATGATCCTTCTATACTCCAGGAATGACAGGATTCGCAGTGGCGGACTGGTTGTTTCAATGGAGCCTGCCAGCCCTCCTGAGCGGGACTGCGTGTATGTGGGGGCTATGTGACTTTATGGCAGGGGGAGGAGGGTTACAGCTCCCCTGCTGCGTGGCTCTGTGATCCAGGACAAGGACCGCTGCATAAGATCTGTAACTGCCCTCCCCCGCCACAAAGTCACAGAGCAAACAACCACCCCCCACCCCCCACAGAACATGAAAACCACCTCCCAGACTGACCAGGGTAACTAGTCACTGCACTGTGTATGTGCCCTGCTGCTGGACCTGCCCCCGCCTCTGTACCCTGCTAAAGGTGACTGTCCTGTCCAATTACCAAGCCCCTTCCCCCCCTCCAGACAGACTCTCCCTCAAAAGAACCTGACTGAAACAGTAATGAACAGAAACGTATTTTTTATTAACAACCAGACAGGAAACTGGGGGGTGAAAGTCGGACGGGGGCTTGGGTGAGGCGGGCAGGAAAGGACTTTTCAAATTTTGGGGAATGACAGCCTTCTGGTGCTTGAGCAGTCTGCAGGGGTGGAGTGAGAGTTTTCACGGACTCTGCCACCCCTCCTTCTTTGGACTTTGGGAGAGGGGGGTATGGGACTTGGTGGCGGGGGAGTGCGGTTCCTGATAGACTGCAGCGGGGCTCTGTCCTCCTGCCTCCGTTCCTGCAGAACATCAACAAGGCGCCGGAGCGTGTCCGTTTGCTCCCTCAGAAGTCCAAGCAGCGTTTGAGTCGCCTGCTGGTCTTCCTGCAGCCACCTCTCCTCACGTTCCATGTGTGTCCGGTGCATTTGTGACAAATTCTCCCTCCACTGGTTCTGCTGTGCTGCCTGGGCTCGGGAGCAGCCCATTAGTTCTAAGAACATGTCCTCTCGCGTCTTCTTCTTCCTCCGCCTAATGTGCGCTAGCCTCTGGGAGTGTGATGCCAAGCAGGGTTGGGAGACAGTTGCAGATGTGGCTGTGGGAATGAGGAAAAGGCAGTGAATTCCTCCGAAAGATAAATGTGGTTGTGAATCAAGAACATAGTTTTTCTCTGTGAACAAGACCATGAACCACACCTATCACATGCGCACTCAGGACAAGGTCGAATTTTCGAACCTCGCCTTCACTGCCTGGGCTTTTGCACTGCCGATCTGGGAAGCGGGGCAGGACACGGTACTCTCTGTAGCAGGCAAACATGGTAAGCCGTAGACTTGTGGCTGCTTAAAACTTTAGGAGTACCACTGGCCTCCTTTCACAGTGAAAGCACTGCCAGTCTGTGCTGCCAGCAATCGGCCAAGCAGGAACTCTGGCCCTGTCCCACCCCCTCGCGGATGAGCCAGGGAAAGATCCCTGTATGCTGCCCCTCTCCCGCCCCCACCGCGTGGCTGTAAACCAGCGTCAGTTCTGTAAAGGAACTTGTTGCAAGCAGTCCCAATACTAACAGTCCCCTACCTAATTCAAAGCAGGTCATCATGAGCGACATTACTCTCATGAGGATCCCGGACACCGAGATCCAACGGATGCTTCGAGAAAGCCTGCAGAGACCGGGGCCCTATGCCGCCATGCTATGCAAGGCAATGATGCCGGAGTACCTGCTTGTCTCCTGGCGCGGGAACGTCTCCTACTTCGGAGGACCAAGTAAAGCCGCTCTCCCCAGGAACCTGATGAACAGGCTATCCCATTACCTGCAGGAGAGCTTTGTGGAGATGTCCGTGGAGGACTACTGCTCTATCCCCGGACATATAGACAGGATTCTAATGTAGCTGCAGTAGCAGGGACTAAAGAGTGGAGCAGCTTGGGCAGCACAATCATGCACAACCGGACACTGTTTGATTTTTTTTAAATAGTTGTTACTGATTACTTAAGCGCCCAGGGGGAAGAAATCATGATTCACAGATTGTTCTTAGTATTAATATTCAAGTTTTGTAAAAAATAAAGGTTAATATGTTTAAAGCACTTACCGCTTGATCCTTCGCCTGAATCTGTGTCCAGGTTACATGCTGGGGAGGGTTGGTAAGGGATCTCTGTAAGGGTGATGAAGAGCTCCTGGCTGTCGGGGAAATCAGCTTGGTAAGCGCTGTCGACTGCCTCGTCCTCCTCATCTCCTTCCTCATCTTCCCCGTCCGCTAACATGTCCGAGGAACCGGCCGAGGACAATATCCCATCCTCAGAGTCCACGGTCAGTGGTGGGGTAGTGGTGGCGGCCACACCAAGGATGGAATGCAGTGCCTCGTAGAAACGGGATGTGTGGGGCTGGGATCCGGAGCGTCCGTTTGCCTCTTTGGTCTTCTGGTAGCCTTGTCTCAGCTCCTTGATTTTCACGCGGCACTGCGTTGCATCCCGGCTGTATCCTCTCTCTGCCATGGCTTTAGAGATCTTCTCATAGATCTTTGCGTTCCGTCTTTTGGAGCGCAGCTCGGAAAGCACGGACTCATCGCCCCACACAGCGATGAGATCCAAGACTTCCCGATCAGTCCATGCTGGGGCCCTCTTTCTAGTCTGAGATTGCATGGCCATCTCTGCTGGAGAGCTCTGCATCGTTGCCAGTGCTGCTGAGCTCGCCACGATGTCCAAACAGGAAATGAGATTCAAACTGCCCAGACAGGAAAAGGAATTCAAATTTTCCCGGGGCTTTTCCTGTGTGGCTGGTCAGAGCATCCGAGCTCGGACTGTTGTCCAGAGCGTCAACAGAGTGGTGCACTGTGGGATAGCTCCCGGAGCTATTACCGTCGATTTCCATCCACACCAAGCCTAATTCGATATGGCCATGTCGAATTTAGCGCTACTCCCCTCGTTGGGGAGGAGTACAGAAGTCGAATTTAAGAGCCCTCTGTGTCGAACTAAATAGCCTCGTGGTGTGGACGGGTGCAGGGTTAATTCGATTTAACGGCGCTAAATTCGACATAAACGCCTAGTGTAGACCAGGCCTTAGATTTGTGCATCTGGCCCTATCAGCCATCTACGGTAGTTCTGAGTTAGGCAATGGAAACAATTTTCAGATTAATTAAGGTTAACTATTCTCCTAGTGAGTCAAATAAGTGAATTTGTACAGAGAATAAAAATGCTGCCATCCTAATCTACACTAAAAGGAGAAAGACTCAGAATGCAGACGAGACCGCCCCGCCCTTCGTTTATTGAAGAAAAAACAACTTTCAATGCAGCTGTATTTGTACATCTTTCTCACAAGCAGCAATCCAAAATCATCTTCAGAATTAACAGTTATAAAGAACAAATTGCAAAAGGAGAGAAATTAAGAGGCAAAAGGAAGGAAAAAATATGTTTTCAAGTGAGCTCTGCAAAGTGAAGGAAGGTCAATGAGACAAACAGCCAGCAGTTACATATGGCTAGAGCGGCAGAGGAGAAGGCTCTTGCATCATCACCGATGAGACTATGTAATAGCAAAGAGGGGAAAGGATTAGCTAAAAAAGGGTCACTGAGGTGAAACGGAGGAGGGTCCATTTACTGTCCTTGATCAAAACATATTTATTTTCATAAATGATAATTTTTCCTGAGGTAAAGTTACTTATACATGTGTGGAGAGAAATACTGGCTGCAAAGCACTTTAACATCATTAATCAAGATCTCTGAACTGCTACCTTCATAGCCATAGGATTTCTACATGATTTATGACTGATCTCCCACCACAATAAGGAAAACTTATGACTCACTGGTAAGATGCAACACCAGTAAGGCTAGAACCTTCCTAGCCACTTTCTTCTCAAGAGATTTCTGTAAAATTTGATTTAAATACTGACACACAAAGTCATCACTGCTGGATCAATTCAAAAAGGATTGAAAGAGAACAAGGATGTTGCAATTTGTTTTCAAGAGACTGGATAGTCTTTAGATGGATTCCAGAGGTTTCCAGATTTTAAACAATCTGTTCATTTGCATCCACAATCCCCTCACCTCATCAACTGCATTTTTTTGGGGCAAAGTTTTCACCAACTTCGATGTTATACATATTTTACAAAAACAATGGTCATTTATTATTTTGTTAAGCACGGACAATGTGCTTGGCCCTGTTCCAGACACAAAGACAAAACAATACCTGCTGTGAAGATCATGCACTTGTGGACAAGACTTAGTTTGTTAGCAAAAAGTTGCATACTTGCAGCAGTCAGCACTGTTAATGAGTCCACTTTGAGAGAGATGAGATCATCATTCACTAGCAATTTATTAGCTCCCTATTTGTTCAAGAATCGCTTCTCATAGAAACAAACTGCACATGTTATTTCTGAGCCTGGTTGAAGGATTTGGCACGGAGGTACAATTTAAGAGAGCTGTTAGACACATTTCCAAATTTAAAAATCCATGGCAGCTGACAGCTGGTTAATATGACATTTTACAGTGCGTTTTCTCTAAGCACTGAAACTTTGAGGTTTCTTGGTTTATTTTAGCACTCGATCAATAGACCTACCAGTAAGGTGAAACTGTGTTCAGGCAGAATCCCATACTGTTCAACAAGCTTCACTCTCCTCACACTGGGGAGATCAGGAAGCCTCTCCCGAATCCAATCAATATTCACCACTTGCTGATGGTTCGTATTAGCGGGCAATGATTTAGTATCGTACAGAATCAATGGAGGGAGGTTTGGCTCTGGCATGAACCTGGGGAGAATGAAGAGGGACGAATTTGGGGTTATTTTTAATCAAGACAATCCTCAGCATCTCAACAACAGGCTGTAAAATTTGTATGCGAAAGTTAATGTTCCTTTGGAAATGGTATTACTGGATTTAACGGACCAAGATACCGAAACTTCACAGCTCAGTATATTATTGTCGAATAGGAAAAAAATCAGTCCACAGCCACTATTTTCTCTCTGATGATCTGTCACTGTTTGCCAAGCAACCAGCAATAGAAAAAGGGTAATTTAAAAAATTTGACACCCAAAATTTTAAGTGTGGATGCAGCCCATCACTCTTGTTGGTGAGCATGAATTGTGATTCTGAGCAGCAAGGCAGTGTGGGTTGGACAGGAGAGAAGCATATTGACAGCCAGCTGCCAGGAGTTCTCTGTGCAGGTTGCAACCTCTCTCATATTAACCTGAGGAGTACTGATGAAACCGCATGCTGTGTTAAAAGCAAAATTACCATGCTCAGCAGGATGTCATAGTAAATAAAACTGAGTGACAACATCAAAGAACAAAGGATCTCAAAGAGAACGCTAATTCAAGCCATCAGAAAAGCATTGTGATTCAAGCAGCAACCTTATCCTGACATGAACAAATGATGGACTGATAAATCTCAAAATATATTAAAAAAATTGTTTTTGTCTTTGCAAACCTTTGAGACACACCCTTTGAGCCTATTGCACTTAAAAAGAAATCATGTTTAATGTGTTGGATTTAGATTCGGCGTTTAGTGCACACACAAGTTCACAAAATACACGAACAATGAAATTTAAAACTTGATATAATAAGTTTTGTCTGTCTTTAGCTGAAATAGCTTGGTCTCTCTTCCTACCCACATTTGCCTGAATATTTTCTTATAGTGGTTATACATATTAGCCATGTTAAATAAGGATCTGGCCTGACACTAACATAATAGAGAATTAATTCGTGAAACAGACTTTTTTTTTTTAGCTAACGCCCATGCACGCAGAAACAAAGGCTAACCAGGCTATCATATTAGCCCCCAGCTGCCCAAGCGCACTAGCTGTCAAAAACTGAAAATCCATTCTGTCTAAATAATGGTTACTGCCATATTTCCACAAATACTCATCTGTAAACTTGTAAATCTAGGGCAGAATTTTTAAAAATGCTCTGCCTTGGTCTAACTCTGTTCTCTCACTGAAGTCAATAGTAAAACATCCATTGTCTTTCATGGGAGAAGAGATAAGCTATCATGGTATATGAGGCCCCATAATCTGAACATTTGTAATTTTCCTCAGTAAATGCTTAAAAAGGAGAAGTGACTTCACTGAGCTCAAAACACGCCTAAAAATACACTAATGATTATTACGCCACTACATAATCACCCTGTAGCATATGAACTGAGCCTACCAACAATCCAACTCAAATATGTAGTAACGTCCCCACTGATTTCAGCAGGGATAGATAGGATGGAGCCCAAATTCTGAACTGCTGTGAAAAGAACCTGATTTTGAGAGGTATCCAGTGTCCTCGACTCCCACTGAAGTCAACAGAGGTTGAGGGCATTCAAAAGGTGAACTGGGCTTTTAGTTCTAGAATAAAAGTTAACTTTAGAAATAAAATGATCTTCATTACCGATAATCCTGTTTTCCTTCTTTATCTCTCATTGGTATGGTACACCTAAAATAAGACAACACAGGTAAAATATTAAATATGATGGGTTTTACTCTTTCTCCAGTCATGCTGGTACCTCTGCATAACTAGTTTTGTGGCAAATAACTTTACACCATGGAGATCAAGAAAGCTTCATTAAGCCTGTTCAAGTATGGAGTCCAATTCTACCCCCTACACGACCCAATGTAGAGTTTATCATTTTCTCTCAATATTACAAATATTTAACTTTAGTGCTACTTGGCAAAGAAACAAAACCACATGTCAAGGCTAATTCCCCACTCTGGCACTTCAAGTGCAGAAGGTAGGGGCCCGCAAGGATTCTAAAAATTAATACTGGCCACTCCAGGCTTGTATTAAACTCCCAAGGTTACAGCTTTTCTCTGACCTTGGATTGGTAGATGCTGCCACCACCCAAGGCAGAAGCCCAGGAAGGCACACTTGGGAATTTCTTCCTGTGGGGTACCCTCAAGCCCTTTCACCTTCCCTTCGGGGAAGAGCTGAGAAGGGGGAGGGGGGGAATCAGCTGTTGCCACCAGCTAATTAAACAACATGTGCACAAACTTCTTAAGACACAAAAATCCAATTCTGTTCTTAAAAAAAGTAAATTTTATTTAAAAAAAAAAGAAAAAGAAAATACATCTGGGAACTCAGGCTATTGCTAGATTTTAAAGGAGCTACTACAAGGATTAAGCACCAAGAATAGCTCTCTTGAGGTCCAGCTTAAAGATTACGCAAAACAAAAGCACCTGGGGTTAGCACAGAGGAATCCACAAGCCATAATGAAATAAAAGGGATAAACCTAATCGCGTCTTCCTAGACATTTCCTGATCTACTTACATATCTGGAGTTTTAAGTGAGTAGTTTTCTAGGTATGATACTGATGATTTTTCATACCTGGCCCAAGCTTCTTACAGCATAGCTGCTGCCCTATCCGCCTCTCCCCAGGAGAACCAACAGAAGACAGACAAAAGGGGAGTCTTTTTTCAATTTCATTGGCTCTTTTGGCCAGGTGTCCACTCATTTCCTTTTACCTATGCATAGCAATGAGACTTTTTAACCCTTTACAGGTAGAGCAATTAGAGAACAGCTACTAAGAGGGATTTTATAGCTACTGGCTGGGTGGGTGTCCATAAAAGGGAGCTTCCCCCCCCCCTTCATTTATCACACCACAAAAAAGAGAGAGTAAAGAAGATACATCAGGTGGTCTGATGCTATAGCACCAGAAACATATAGGGCCCAATCTTACAGCCTTTCACAGGCTAAAGTCCCACTGCACTCCAGTGGAAGTTTTGTCTGACTTAAAATAAGTTTACCTGGATCCTGAAATTGTTAAATAATTTCAGTAGCTTACTACAGGCAAGAGAGCAGTACATGTGCCTGGGGAGAGATGGAACAGTCTAGTGTATACGGTATGGGCCTGGCACTCAGGAGACCTGGATTCTAGTCCCAGCTCTGCCTCTGAACTGCTGTGTGACTTCACTTCTCTGTGCCTGTTCCCCCTCCCATGCTTAACCTGTCTTGTCTATTTAAATTGAAAGGTTTTCAGAGAAGGGATTGTGCCTAGCACAACGGGCATCAGTTGAGGCCTTTAGGCATTACTGTAATATAATTAATGCCTGTGATGGGACCACACTCCTGAATGGTAATTCAAACAAACAGAAATGGAGAGAGGACGTTTTAACACCAGTGACAATCTCACTAGGAAGCATTAGAACTCCAAAGATGCTATTTCAAATACCTCTCTAAAATATGAACTCACCCAAGTTTGAAATCAAAGGCTCTGGTTTCATTCATAACAGTTCCTCCATTTTCAAGTTCCTTGATTTGCCTCTGTATTTCATAGTCTGACAAAAAAAATTCAGCTGAGTTACACTGCACCCACATTTCCATTACATGCATCCGACGAAGTGGGCATTCACCCACGAAAGCTTATGCTCCAATACATCTGTTAGTCTTAAAGGTGCCACAGGAGACTGTTGCTTTTTACTGCACCCACTGCATTTTTATACCTCCCATTACTGCATTCTTCACTGCCAGGCAGTAAATGAAAAGATTATTTTAAACTTACTGAAACCAAAAGCAATCAATTAGGGACGGAATTACTGGCAAAACTGACCTCTCTCTGGCACTGTTGTATGTACATTTGGTTCCTGCGGGGCAAGAGGGGGGAAGGAAGGAGGTCCCCCCCACATACACACACCGCAACCAGTTCCAGGCACTCCAGACTTCAGCTAAACTGTACAGCCAAAGCAGTTTTCCCATCATCACATCAGGGGTTGAGTGGAGGCTCTCCATCCAATCTCCCTGCATTTTTTCTTGGGAGATGCATTGTTTCTCCTTTCCTGCCCATACCCATACTGCAGCTGCACGCCCTTTGTGCATCACACACACCAGACACCGTGCCCTGGGAAAACAATCAACTTCATCTGAGGACACAGAGCTGCTGTATTGCTAGAATCTTTCAAAGCAGAACATACTAAATACTGAATCATCCACTTTACTCTCCTTGGAGACAGAGGATCACTTCCACAATAAAACTGACAGCCAATGTGGCCGACATACCTACATCTTGTGAGACTTGGTCCTGTCACCTAGATAAAAAGTATCTAGTATTTCAATAAAGGAGCAAATAACATTTACCTATCGCTCTTGCCAGGAATCGTGCACTATTGATATTCTTCACTTCAGTCCTTACTCCGTAAGCTTCTCCGGGGTGATGCACAGATACATTGGCATCCACTCTCAGTTGACCCTCTATAAAAGGAAACATCATCACTAGAGTAGATGACCTTGGCATATGTTAATAAGCAGCATGTTATGTACAGGATGTTTATACTGGACTTCTGTAAAAGATCTGAGATCAGGAAGAGGGCAGCTGCCTTATAATAGCTTCCTATTTATGGTTCCATTTTAAATCTCCAACTGAATTTTCTGAGAAGACTACCTTTTGGAATGGAATGGCATGATTCTTCTCAAAGACAGCTGTATAGTGTAAGTGCACGGGCTTAAAACCATACTCCTTAAAAACATAGTTCTTAAAACCATACTCTAGGAGAGAAGTTATGTCCTGTAAAGGGAGGACAGAACTAGGGTGAATCACCTAAAAGACAAGTAATTAAAAAAAAAAAAAAAAGCAGGCTGCAAGATTCCAGTTTTTATTTTTTCGCCCCGACAAAAGTGGATGAAAACACTCCCTGAAATGACTACTTGATGGCTGTACACTGCTCTACCATGGAGCACAAGACTTTAACAGCAATGCTGGGTAGATTTATTGAAGCATCCTTGGGAATTTAAAGCTGAAGGGCAAATGTCAGAAACTTGGTTTTTCCTCCCTCAAGGAACTGTAATCTTCTTCCTCAGCAAAGATGATTTTGAATCCTTCCTGACTGACAAAAGCATAACATATACAGGCAAACAGAAAGTTACACAGAGGGCAAATCTACACTAAGGCAAGGGGTGGACCAGAAGCCCCAGGAGATCCTGTCCGACCATCTCGCTGGTTTTACCAGGTTCCTCCAAAACATCCATCTATGCAGAGAATTTGTTGAGATAGTCAGATTAGGTATAAAGAAAAGAAAAACATAGGCATACATCTCTCACACTATAAGCTCATAAGACTCTTGCTATATCATCAGAGGAAACCCATTCTCTAGTCTTCTTCCTTATCTGAACTTAAAATTAATACGCTGTAAAATGAAGCAAATATTTGATATTTACACAACAGCACTAGTGAAGGCAATGTCAATAGCCCAGTGTTAAATCTGTAGAGAGGTGTAAAGCCTTGGAGCCCATTCAGGACAGCCGATGTAAATTTGCAAATGTTGACCTTGCCCATTCTGTAAAAGCTGAATGGATGTCATCTTGTTAATCTTCTCTGTATTGATGGAGACTTCTTGAATAGGCAAATGAAGAAGGGAGGTATAGAAGGGACCCCAATGTTCATTGTAAAGGAGACTGTTCACACTGGATCATACTTAGGGGTGAGGAGAAGAGAACACTTGTACCAAAGGAAATATATGTCAATAGTATTCTTCTGTCTTCACTTTGCTTCTATTGAAGATCTGGGTTTGACTATACTCTCTCACTGCTGTTAGTCAGAAGAGAATGGGATTAACCAGACATAAGTGAAAAGAGAATTGGGGCCCGTGTATTTTTAAAAAGGCTGTCTCCCTCACAGCCCAGCTTCATCTCCTATTTGATTATCTTGCAGTGAAGTCATGCTTTCAAGCAGTTTGTTGCAAAGTGATGGATGATGAATTCAGCAAGTGTCTTCCTGGCACACGCAAATAGAAAGAAGATAAAATGTGGGGGCGCAAACCCTCACCTAAACACAAACAACGCTGGTAAAAAAAAAATATATATATATATAGTAAAAAATACCTCACTAAGCACGCCTGAATAAAATGATTTTGTTTAAAATCTAATAATATTGGGGGGGAAATATTGCCAGCGTGGCAGGTCTTTCTTTATACATAGTGTGGAATACGGTGGTGACATGCTAATGGAAGTCTCAGGGGGAAATTCAGCAATGAAAGATGATGGTAAGTTATTGTATATCATAAAGTCTGTATCAATCGCAGAGTAATGTGCCGATTTGGCATTCAGAAGGTATGCAAAATGAGTGACCTCCACCGAATGCCCGAGTTTCCTCTAACACTGGTGTAAATCCACTGGAATTACAATAGTGTAAAACTAGTCTAAGTGAAGATAATCATATCTTGAGGCAGTGGAAGTTGCCTCAGAAAAAGCAGGTAGCCTGAGGGTACAAGATAAAGTAGGCCTCCACTAATATTCTGTTTATTACAGTAGTGCCCAGAAGCCTAAGTGAGGATCAATGTCCCTCTGCATAAATACATATGACGATACTTGCCCCAGAGAGCTTAATATCTAAGAACTATTAATTACCAATTATTTTAAATTAAACCTGAACCATTCCCCAACATTCCCAGAGTCACAATCCACTTTGGGTTGAGCAGGCACAACTCTGATTGAACTCACAGGGAGTTGCACTTGCTTACCTCAGGGGCTGAATGTGATGTTAAATCACTAAGTTGCGCTGGTTCACTGCTGAACATGTTTTATGATCAATTTACACCCAAAATTTAACTTACACAATCATCTGTGCCGGGAGCCTTCACTCTCAACTACTAATCACTGTTACAATGTTTCCCATTCACAGTTAAGTACATGCAAGATGAGCAGAGAAAGACAATAAGTGAAAAATAACAAGAACGCTGCGCTACTTCATCCTGCCCTGGTCCATCATGTAAAATTGATGTATGCGGCAGTATAAAAATCCAAGTGCCGCAGAGGAAGCTGGGCCTATAAAGACACTTGAAGCATAGCTGACCTTATACAGACACTGAAGATTTTAAAAGAAGGAAGCAGCATTAAGAAAATGCTAAATGTTAGGCAACTACAGAGCAAAATAACCAGAAGCTGTGAAACTACGCCTGCAAATGCAGAGAATTACAATTAACTGGAGGGAACATTGCCCTGCTCGCTCCTTTACCTGCCATGATTGCCTGGCTGCTCCCAAGTGTTTGAAGAATAAGCTGAAGCTCTCTGACTGCTGCAGCTGCCTCTTCCCCAGAGCTCATCTCAGGCTCCATGACAACCTCCATGAGGCCAACACCTACCAAAAAGAGAGAGAAATGAGATTCCCAGCAGTAGCTTTTGATCTTGACATATTAAAGTGCAACAAGCTAAACACATGACAGCACTTGGGTTTGTTTGAGAAAACTGGGAAACCATGTTTTATTTAATAACTGTCAAAATGGGGCTATCTGCAGGATTGTTACATAGACTATATTTGGTTTTATTTTTAAGATTTAACTTAAAGGCATTTCCACACACTCCCCCTTTGATGACATAGGGAACAGATGGAAAAATTATTCATCTTTCCTCTGAGAAAGCTCCTACGAACAGTCCACCTGATTTCCCAATTTCATTTTCTCATTACATTCAGGTAATTTAATGCAATCACAGTTTTCTTACAGCTTCCTAGAGTAAAGGTATTAGTCAACATTTGCAAGTGTGGGGCCTAAAGTTAGGCATCTAAATCCATAGTTAGGCGCATAACTAAATGTTTAGATTTTCAGCAGTGATGAGCACCTGCAGCCCTCAACTTCACTGGCAGCTGTGGATGCTCACTGTTTCTGAAAGTCAGGCCAGGTATTTAGGCCACCTAACTACACATTTAGGTACATGGATTTGTTGGTCAGCATTTGATTTATACAATAGACATTTTAGAGCTTTATGGAGAAAGAGATTGTTTTTATAAAAGCTAAAAATTAAAAGCCATTTCTGACTCAAGCACTGACATCCCACTCTGCCGTCTGTGCATTTCTGCCACGTTGCTTCATTCAGAGTCTGCACTTTTTAAACAACACTTACAGCTGCAGGAGCATAAGTGGCTCCTCTGTCCCACTGAATACCCCCTTGACATGTTAAAGGTCTTATTTGGAAGTTGGCTGGCAGACAGGTTTGAGAAACTGAGCCACTAGCCTCCTGACTGGCCAGTGCCACTTTGTCATCAGCAAACAGGCCAGAAAAGATGAACATTAGCCAGATATGGAATTTTTTTTTACACATTTAAGTCTCATTTAAAAATGTTTATTGAAAGCAACAAACCAGATTCCACCCCACCCCACCCCTGCCACTCCAATTAGTTTTAAATATTCAGCCCATACATAAAAAGACTGAGGGGATAAGAAAGTGATCCAAGCCTACCAGCCCTGTTCAAGTCAATGAGAGTCTGGCTCCTTATGTCATCATGAAGACTCTTTCCGCTGTCTTGTTCCAACTGGATCTGCTTGATCCTCACAGTCCTGGTTACCATCTGGTTCTTTTTTCTCCCTACACAGAGGCTGTATGAAAGACTCCCATTCACAGCAACGGGAAGTCTCTGCTGAGTGATTTGATAGCCAGCCTGCATACAGAATCAGGTCTGTGTTCAGAATTGTCATTACATGAACAATAATTTTAATTCTTGTCCCAAGATGGACTGGCCCTACTCAGGCCCAACCCCCTCAGCCAGGCCCCTTGCCCCCACATCCCCGCCCCCCCCCCCCCCCCCGCTCGCCCGCCCCCCCCCCCCCCCCCCCCCCCCCCCCTTCCACGAATAGCTGGGACTGTCACTCCTACTCTGGCCAGAGCTCTATTGCTGTTGGTGAAAATCAAAAAAAGTAGAAAAGCCTGATTTCCACTAAAATCACCATTTGGTCACTCAGGATACAGGTAGAGACAGTGACCCCTCACACAGAGGCCTGTGGCAAGGGAACAGTCAGTCTGGACACAGGGGTGAGTCTAGCCAGGGCCCCCTTATCCATGTCCCTCACTCTGGCTGGGCCCCTCACTCTCCCCCACTGGCCAGAACCCTATTGATTTGGGTGAAAATCGAAAAACTGGGGAAGCCTAGTTTTAGTGGAAAATCAGCCTTTTCTGATTTTCACCAAAATCAACGGTGTTTGGACCTGACTAGCAGGGGAGAGGGGCCCAGCTGGAGTGGAGGGGAAAGGGCCAAGCTGGGTGTACAACTTGGCCTACATAAGCAGTGAAGTGTGCAAACTTCTAGTTGTAAGTACCCTTGGTAGTACATTATTAGAGTTTTAATCAATAAACATCAATTTCACTGTATGCACACAAACTGATGAAAAAATATTTCTACCAATGATAATCAACATTTCAGATAGGCCGGAGAATTTATTAGAGTTTGATTTCAGGATATTTACTTTGTATATTTTGACATGTGATATTGTCAATTTGTGTTTTTAACAGCGATAAAGCTTTAGCTTTTTGAATCTCAACATCATTGAGATAGTCATTAAATATCTATTGTCTGACACCCCCCATAATTTCATGCAGCTGTGAAAACGTAACTAGATAAAAACAAAACAAATGCTTAAAAATAAACATCGATATTATCCATCAAAACTATAAAAAATAAAAATTGAATTCTGCCAAACCTAGTTTTAAGCACTATAATAAAAATGAGACAATTGACTCCATTCTATAGGCTCAATATAATCTATCCTGCCTCCCCCAGCTTCTCATTAAAGTGATTTTTTTAAAAAGCCTCAAATGGTGTGTGACAATAAATAATAAGAATCCCAATTCCCATCCGAAGCCCCATTTTCAGGAGTAACAATAATCCCATTGTCAAAAGACCCTAAGAGCAGGATTTATTTTATCTATTCCATTCAGCTCATTAGCTTAAACTCTGTATCTTATTATAGGGCTCCAGAGAAGACTGCCGTATTACAAAATGCAGGCTGGGCATTTTACAGTCAGTGCTCAACACTATAGATGCCAGCTGCTAGAAGATCCGGAGTTCTCTGTGTTTAAAGCTAATAGAATGTGTCAGGTATCTTCTTGACCCAAATTTTCCTAATTATTTGACTAGAAGATGCTGTAATATAAGCCATTAGGTAGTGGCAGAACACAGTGCCTATGTACTACATATGCTACCTGAAGATACATCTTCCCATTGCGCTCTCTTTCAAAACAGATGGACTAATTTTTACTCTGCTTCATTCTTTTCTGTTCGTTTTTTATTGGTGGAGCGATCACCACCAGGAAAGTCTGAACATTCTTTAATGTAGGAGCAGAACCACCTACAATTTAAAGGTGACCGGCAATTGGGTTTGTGATTTCTTTTTTCTTCTTCGTGATGCGTAAAGCCAGTTTGAAAAGCTGGGCGTGGCTTCTTTTGTTTCTTCTTTTTTCTCCTGCTTGTTTAGAATTTCAGCTCTTGTTAACTTACTGTTTTTTATCAGAAAGACTATCGATGATGACTGCAGAACTAGGAGTGTATTGACGACCAAAGTAACTATCTATCTAGGTACTTATACGTCCTCCATCACTATAGTATGGAGGGCCCAGATCCACACAGGTACGTAGGTGTTTAAGTCCCAGTTTTAGGCTCCACTTCAATCCACAAAACTTTTGTTCCACTGCTGCCTAACCCTGTAGGTGCCTAAATTCACTTGGTACCTAAGTTCTCAGGATAAAGTTACCTAGACATCTACGTTGCTGCCTCAGGGTATGCACAATGCTGCCTCCCTCTTAGGCATCCAAATGCCTATCTCCTGCCTAGTCCCAGAGCTATCCATGAACCCAGGGAAGACAGATGTTCGCCCGCCTACCTTGCCTGGAGGGCCCAATATGGGAAGTGTGCTCAATGGCTGCCTACCAGATGAGGTCCCATGCAAAATCAGGCACCAACAGCACCCACCTTACAACTTTTAGGCCAATGGTTAGAGCACTCATCTGGGATGTGGGAAATCCAGGTTCAATTCACCCCTCTGCCTGAGGGAGGAGAAAGGATTTGAACAGGGATCTCCTACCTCTCAAGAGAGTGCTCTAACCTCTGAGATATGGGATATTCTGTGAGGCTCCCTCAACCTCTCCTGTTGCAGCTGTATCATTATGTATAAAAAATTAAATAGTAATTGAAGCATGGGGACTGGACCCTAGGTCTCCCTCCTCCCACATGGGTGCCCTAACTACCAGGCTACATAGTCAGTCTCACTGTCGCTCTCTATCTGGCCCTGAGACTTTTTAAGCATCGCAACACCTAAGTTACTTTGTGGATTGGGGCTCAAGTGCCTCACAAATATTAATGACTTGATCTTCAACAACCCTGCAAGCAAGGTAGGGAAGCATTATGCCCATTTCATAGATAGGGAACTGAGGCACAGAGATAACAACTTGCCCAAGGGCAACAGGACATTTCTAGCAGAGATGGAAATTGAACCCAGATCTCCTGAGTCCCAGCTATGCATTAACCATGATATCATCTTTCTTCCAAGGACATCAAATGAGGGGGGAAATGGAATTTTATTCAAAAATTCTGTGTTTTATGTTCTTAAAAAAAATCTCAAATGCCTGAACAAACAGTTGGGAGAAAAAAATCTTTGATTAAAGTTTCAGCACCTCTACACATTGATCTATGGCCTGAAGAACACTCCCTCCCCTAATTCTCTGGACCTCCAAGGACACATCCAGGAAAAACTGGGAAAATAAGATTTGATATTCCTGATTTTTCTTGGGTAAAACACAAGCAGGACAAAGCATTTAAGTCTTCTTTATTCAAAAAAAGCAAAGTGAAGCAAATCCATTGTTTTCCCCTTTACAGGCCACTTTTATGTTCAACAACATCCAGAACAAATATATGGAGGGAAAGGCCATCTTTAAAGTTAGAACTGTGACTTTGTTAAAACAAAAATAAGGTCCTTGCGCTCTGCTGTATGCTGTCAAAAAGGTAAAACCAGACTCTCAACTAATTTCCATATTCTTACTTGACTTTGTCAAGTGCAGTGAAGTGCAGCTCACTTCCAAAGACAGTTTATTCCAAATATGAAAGCAATCCACAGGGTCTAAACCTATTACTGAATGTGGCAAAGGCACATTTATTAAGTTCATTCAAGATCCTGGCAAAGATTAGAATGTTTGAAAAGCAAATGTGATATTTATAGGTCCTTAAATTTAATAGCAAAAACAAAAAACAGATGCTATGATGTTTATACTATTGTAATGTGTGTTTGCTACACATTCATTTTAAAAGAGGGGCTATTATCAGACTGGTTTGCTTTTACCCTAACAGACAATTAGTGCTAATACTAGGAATGGAGAAAGTACGGGCACAGCAGCTCCATCTCCCAATTCAATTACATAAAGCCACTGGAATCGTGAGGCTAAGCAAGGAGTCAGCAATCAGGGCAATCATATTCAATCAGTGAGCACTAGGGTATAGCTATCTATTCATCAGGGCTTGGCGCAGCATCCTGTTAGTTTGGGCAGAACACTGATTGAAAACATAAAAAGCATCTCTTTGCTACCGCCAGCCCTACTCCAGACTCATCCTTTTCTACAGCTATAGAGGGACCAACCATAATGCATACTTACAGGCAGATCTGCATAGAAATAGTGTTTTCTGTCAAACAAGGACTTCTTGTTTATGCTGCAGTTCAGTGCGAGGCCTGTCATCACTGCTGCTTCTACACATCTCCTGTTGAGAGCCTAAAGAAACATGACATACAATTTTACTCAGACATTCACTATATAACAAATGCTTCTCCCACACGCTGCCTTATACAGAGTGTATATTCAATTTTGCTTGCCTTCAGTAGGCATTATCTCTGTTTTCTTGCGTGGGTAGCTCATATTCATCATCAGTCTGGCAGCAGCTACAAATCTGCAAAGTTTTATATGGAAAATAAAACCATACCGTTGTTTTTCTTGTATGCTGCATGAGAAGCCACACAGTGTTTTGGATTGCTTCTTTTGCAAACATAACCAGTACTCTTGACACCCCCAAACCTTCACAGGGTATGTCTACACAGCAAAGAAAAACCCACAGCTGGCCTGTGCTAGCTGACTTGGGCTCATGCTCTTTCATTGGATAGACTTCCGGGCTCAGGCTGGAGCCTGGACTCTAGGCCCTGCAGGGTAGGAGGGTCATAAGAACAGCCATACTGCGTCAGACCAAAGGTCCATCTACCCAGTATCCTGACTTCCAACAGTGGCCAACGCCAGGTGCCCCAGAGGGAATGAACAGGTAATCATCAAGTGATCCATCCCCTGTCACTCATTCCCAGCTTCTGCCAAACAGAGCCTAGGGACACCATCCCGGCTAATAGCCATTGATGGACCTATCCTCCATGAATTTATCTAGTTCTTTTTTGAACCCTGTTATAGTCTTGGCTTTCACAATATCCTCTGGCAAAGAGTTCCACAGGTTGACTGTGCGTTGTATGAAGAAATACTTCCTTTTGTTTGTTTTCAACCTGCTAACTATTAATTTAATTTGGTGACCCCTAGTTCTTGAGTTATAAGATGGAGTAAATAACACTTCCTTATTTACTTTCTCCACACCAGTCATGATTTTATAGACCTCTATCATATTCCCCCCTTAGTCAGCTCTTTTCCAAACTGAAAAGTCCCAGTCTTATTAATCTCTCCTCATATGGCAGCCACATCTGCACGCAGTATTCAAGATGTGGGTGTACCATGGATTTATATAGAGGCAATATGATATTTTCTGTCTCATTATCTAACCCTTTCTTAATGATTCCCAACATTCTGTTCGCTTTTATTGACTGCCGCTGCACATTGAGTGGATGTTTTCAGAAAACTCCAAGATCTCTTTCTTGAGTGGTAACAGCTAATTTAGACACCATCATTTTATATGTATAGTTGAGATTATGTTTTCCAATGTGCATTACTTTGCATTCATCAACACTGAATTTCATCTGCCATTTTGTTGTCCAGTCACCCAGTTTTGAGAGATCCTTTTGTAGCTCTTCGCAGTCTGCCTGTGATTTAACTATCTTGAGTAGTTTTGTATCATCTGAAAATTTTGCCACCTCCCTGTTTACCCCTTTTTCCAGATCATTTCTGAATATGTTGAATAGGACTGGTCCCAATACAGACTCCTGGGGGACACCACTATTTACCTCTCACCATTCTGACCATTTATTCCTACCCTTTGTTTCCTATCTTTTAACCAGTTAACAATCCATGAGAGGACCTTCCCTCTCATCCCATGACAGCTTACTATGCTTAAGAGCCTTTGGTGAGGGACCTTGTCAAAGGCTTTCTGAAAATCTAAGTACACTATATCCACTGGATCCCCCTTGTCCACATGCTTGTTGACCCCCTCAAAGAATTCTAGCAGATTGGTGAGGCATAATTTCCCTTTACAAAAAACTATGTTGACTCTTCCCAACAAATTATGTTCTTCTAGGTGTCTGACAATTTTGTTCTTTACTATAGTTTCAACCAACATATCATCAACGTATCTCATTGGTTCCATGGTGCAGTTGTTCAGAAATTCCTCCTCAAGGTGTCCCATGAAAAGTTTGGCATAGTGGGAAGCCATCCTATTCCCACGGTTTGGGCAAAGTGCATGTTGAATGTAAAATTGTTATGGGTGAGGATGAAATGGATGAGTCTGGTGATGTGTTTGGAGTGGATATCTGCCGGTTGTCCCTTGTCTTGTAGGTATATGAGGCAGGCAGCGATGCTGTCATTGAGAGGGATGTTGATGTATAGGGGGGTGACATCCATGGTGGTAAGGATGGTGTTCTGAGGGAGGTTGTTAATGTTGTGAAGTTTCTGGAGTAAATCAGTTGTGTCCTGGAGGAAGCTGGCCCTTTGTGTGGTGAGTGGTTTGAGGATGGTTTCTGAGTCCTGATATTCCTTCAGTAAAAGTGCCAAGGCCAGATATGATAAGTCTGCTTGGGTTCCCTTGTTTGTGAATCTTGGGTAGCTTGTAAAAGATCGTTGGGATAGGTTCATGGGGGATGAGGTTGTGGAGTTTCTCTTGGAGTTGTTTGGGGAAGGATTTGATATCCTTAAATCCTGGTGAATTATGATGCGGGGTCTTCTTTGAGTTCTCTGTAATAGGTGGTGTCAGAGAGTTGTCGGTTATCCTTATTTACGTAGTCATCACAGTTGAGAATTATGATGGCACCCCTTTTGTCCGCTAGTTTAATCACTATATGGCGGTTGGATTTCATGGATTATATAGCTGTTCTCTCAGCAGTGGAGAGATTGCGGTTGTGTGATGTTTGTTCAAGATTTCACAGTCAATATTTTTCTTGAAGCCATCAATGTAATAATGATCAAGAGTGTGGGTTCATCTCCTGTAGGGTGTCCAGTCAGATCATTCTTTTTTCTTATGGCTGTCAGTGGGGACATGGTAGTTGTGGGTGATGTTGTAATTGCTGTGAAAGAATTCTTGAGGTGGAGTTGGCGAAAGAATTCTTCTAGTTCACGACATGTTAGTATAGTATCAGGTTCAGAGGTGGGGCTGAAGTTCAGTCCCTTGGAGAGTAGAGATAATTCAGCTTCAGTAAAGGGCATTCTTGATAAACTGATGTTGTCATGGTTTTGTGTAGTGTCCATGTGGTGGGTCCTGGTGCCCTGGCTTATCCTGGATGTGAAGTTCTGTGGGTAGTGGAGTTGTTGTAGTTGGTTATACTTTTGTTTTTATACTGGATGGCTGTCATCAGGGGTTTTTGTTTGTTTGTTTGTTTGAAGTTGTTTTGGGTTTCTTGCATGATATCCAGGTACTTGATGGGGACAACATCCAAAAGAAATCTTTCCCAAAACCCCTCTTCTGGCCTTCAAACACCACCCTAAAGTCATCAAGTTCATTATCAAAAGCAAGCTCCCCACAGACCAGAACACACCAACTCGAAGTGGAACCAGACCCTGACAGAATAACAGCTGCAAAACCTGCAGACATATATCCACTGCTATAATGATCAATACTCCTCCACAACACATTTTTCAAGATCCACGGGTTCTACACATGCTTATCACAAATGTGAGTGTACCTCATCCAGTGCACTAAATGTCCCAATAACAACTATGTGCGTGAAACCAGACAATCACTAGGATCTTGAATGAATCACACAGAAAAATGAAATAGACAAAAACATCACATAACCCATCGGCAAACACTTTTCACAAAGTGATCACTTTCCGTCTGATCTCTCAGTCCTCGTCCTCAAAAGAAACTTGCAGGACATTATCAAAAGACAAGCCTGAAGGTTAAATGCATGTCTTTTCTAGACACTAAAAATCACGGTCCTAATAAAGACACTGGATTTATGGCTTATTATAACAATCCGTAACCCATTAACCCCACTAACGCGCCTTCTCTCCGCCCCCCTCCACTCCCCTTTTGTCCTATTACTGCCGGGGTGTTAATAGGACCACTTTACCTTGAATGGCCCCTTAGAATGTGTGTTAACTACTTATGCTAAACCTTGTGTTTAGCTGTGATATTCTGAGTACCTTTCCCAGACCAGAGATCTGTGTAGTTCAAAAGTTTCTCTTTTTCCACCAACAGAAGTTGGTCCAATAAAAGATATTACCTCACCCACCTTCTCTCTCTTTTTTAAGTTGTTTAAGATAAGTTCTATTTTTTAAAATTTGTTCAGGTTAATTTAATAATTGATTTAACTAATTCAAATCAACCAATCTGAAAGAAATAATCAAACTTATCTTAATATAACTTTGAAGTGCTTAAATTTTCAGTGCTTTCAAATAGGCACAGTATTGTCTCCATCCTACTTTGCATCATAAAGCTGTCAAGATGGCAACTTCCAGTAGGATTGTTAAAGAGACAGTGTCAAGATAAAATCATTTAAGTACTGAAATTCCCTTACCTATGTTACAGATACCATCACAGGTGATAAAAATGGAGATATCTTTACAAGTAATACTTATTTTTTGCTATTTATGTAACACTGCTCTACAGCCAAAATGCTTCTGAAATAAATGTAGTCAAACTTTACTAATTCTGGGTCACTGAGAATGAAAATGATGCTTAAAATTGTTGATTGGCTCTAGTTTTCAAGATATGCTATTGGGTCAGTATATACGACCCTTGACTTGGGAATGACGGAGGATAAGTGAGTTATAAAGGGAAGGGATCTCAATTTAAACCAGAAATGACTAAAATACATCTTTGACTGGATCTATGAATAAATCTATGACTGGGTTTGGACAGTACTTGCTTTTTAGGCAAAACAATGAATGATGCAATCTGAAGCTGGTATTGCATCATACATGATATGAATTGCATCATGTTCTTCCTAGAAGTCATGGATGATGCAATCATAACGAAGCTTACATCACTCTGCTGAACCAATTGCCCTATATCAGCTCTAGAAATCATACAGTGTCGTGCTCTCTTATTTGTCAGTGTTTGATTTTGCAAAGGGACAGATTTCTGTTTAGCCAAAGTGAGCAGAGATGCCTCGTACTTGTGTGAACAGTGCAGAGAACCTCTGCTATGTTTGTGGTGAAGTGACTTTTGCATCACAAAAACGCAGTATAACCACCATGGTTAAGAAAGCCTATCACCTTTATTTTGGCTGCAAAATTGGAGATCAGGACAAGAGGTGGGCCCCACACATATGCTGCAACACTTGTGCAACAAATCTTCGCCAGTGGTTGAACAGGAAAAGGAAATCTATGCCTTTTGCAGTGCCAATGATTTGGAG